GCAGTAAGAGTGTAAGATATATGTCATAATAAGCATTGCATGTGATTGATATTTGACACTAAATGGCCAGCAATTTGTTTATTGCTTAAGGAGATATTTTTTATTCATATATACATTTCTCCAAGATTTTTTAAAGTTAAACAATGAGATAAATTTTCTTATTTTGTATGGGAAGAAGTATGTAGTTATAATGTGTAGAAAGTAAAGATAGAGATAAAAGTGAAAATATTTCAAAAGTTAAACAAACACCAGAAAAATGAAGTAAGAAAATATTTTCAATATACTAACCAAACACCTGAAAATGATGAAAGGGAAATGATTTTCATGGAAAATTACCAAGGAAAATATTTTACTTCCAACCAAACAGACCCGAAATGATGATTATTTGTCCTTATAAATGAAAATCACATATTTTTTTAATCCCTCAACTCATTTCTGCTCATATTCTTACCGAAAAAAGAAAACATGTGCAACTCATGATTCACAAACTTCATGGTTAAAATTGAAAAAAGAAAATACATCCCCCACATTTCATTTTTCTACCTCCTATTTCCATAGTAAAAAATATGCCAGTAGCCATGGCTGCCTCCGACTGCCATGGAGGTGTCGCTGTCAGCTGCCACCACTTTGACTCATAAAAATTCAACTTCCCATTCAGCTTTTGGTGTATAATCTAATTTCAGTATTAATTGTCAAAAGAATCATATAGGGATATTCACCACTGGGCTCTCCTGGCACAACATAGCTCAAGAGCGATAAACGTCCAGTTTTAACTCGAGCGATGTGCCTAAACATCCAGTTGTAATTACCGTTGCAGAGAAATTGGGTAAAACTCCTGCACAAGTTGCTTTTCGTTGGGGGTGTCCAGATAGGCAACAGTGTACTTCACAATAGCACTCAGGAATCAAGGAAAGAGAATTTGGACGTTTTTTACTAGTCTATAGTTCCTACGTTAATCACCATAGAAACATTTTGATTTGGAAAACTAAAACCAATGCATAGAACAAGTTAAAATGCTTGTGTGTGTGTGTGTGTTCATAAAATCATGGTTGTAATTTACATTCTGTAACATTCCAAATTTAACTTACTTCAAATCCTTAGGGAAGGATTAGTACTATTAAACAAACCAAACTGTTTATTAGTTTGGCTCATTTAGGCGCTCATTCGTGTTTGATAATAACTCGTTCAAAATTTTATATGAGTCTAGTTTGAACAAATATTTTGACTTGATAAGTAACCGAATGAACACGAGCTCATTCGCAAACATGGTTCTAATTGTTATTTCACAAAACTGAGAGTTATTATTGTATTGTTATTTTCTACTCCAAGCTTTCCGAACTTTGTTAGTCTCAAACTTGTGCTGCTCGAACTTCGCTTCTTCACAAAATGTGTAACAGCTCGTTTATGTTAAACGAATCAAATTGCTTAATGACCTCAATACGAACACAGATTTGGAGTTCAAATATTATCAAACGAGCATGAGCCTTGTTCGAGTTGTTTAAGGAACAGAACTCAAACAAGAGATACTTGATTGATTCAACTCGACTCGACTCATTTACAACTGTAAGAGGGATACTTCAATTACCTTAAAACGAGTAACCATATAAGGTAGTATTTCAATCAATGTTAGTCCAATTGGTAATACCCTAATTGATTCTAAGATATAGTATAAGTTTCCCATAAAAAAGAATTTATAGTATAAGGTAATATCCTAATTTATACTAATTGAAATAGTATAATGGCCTAATCTATGCTACGTGACACAAAATGTATTTTGATTGATTCAAATTGATACCAAGTATATTTACAGTCAATGTTAGACTAGCTGCATAATTTAAATTGATGCTGATCAAAATGGTAGTATCCTAATTGATGCTAGTACATAAAACATTAAGGAGGGATACTTCAATTGCGTGTTTGTCGCTCTTTTCTTCCAAAAGGTAATCTTATTTAGTTGATTCTCATCCAAATGGTAATATCCTAATTGATTCGTATAAAATATTAGGGAAGGATACTTTAAACGCTTATTTATGGCTTTCAATGTTCCGATTGAGTTTAAAATGATACCAGACAATTACTTATGATCAATCTAAGACTAACTATATAGTCACTGTTTTAGTTGACGCAATTATGTAAAATGCGATATCCTAATTGATGCTAATACGTAAGTTAACATCCTAACTTGTGCTAATTGATACAGGATATTACGTAAAAGGTAATATCCTAACTTAATGCTAATACAATATTTAAGCATTTACTCCATCCTCTTTGTTAACCATAAACCTTTATGATTTTTGTTCTTAACGAAAACATTTCAGCATTCTAAATTTTTTAGATCTAATCTTATTCATTATAAAGTATACATTATTGAAAATGGAACTTCTTGGGATTTTTCATATGTTCTTACTGCACAGGAAATGGATTTCATTGTCCAACTAATATATCAATTCATGCTAAAATCGTGCATTCTCATTTGTGGTGTGGACACCAAAAATTCAAAGGAATTTATCAATCTATAAATAGTGGAGTTTGTATTACGGGTTAATTGGTGTTAAGAATATTCGTCCCTTCCCCAAAGATAGGATATCGATCAGAGTATGTTTATAAGTATTGTAATATGTCATCAAATTAACAATTTTATTCATTCAAATCTAATCGTACATAACTTATTTATTAATAGACATTTCTAGTCTTTTTACTTCAACAACTAAATCCCATCAAATTGACATTTCAGAAATGATTAGAGAGGGAATTTAAAAAAAATCAACACAAAAAATCTTGTCAAATTGAAAAAAGAGAGAAATGTGATTTTGGTCTCCAATATGTAGCCTATGTGCTAATATAGTCTCCTATGTTTGAACCAAAACAAATTTAGTTCACAAAGCTTATGATTTAAAGCAGATTTAGGATAATTAATAGAAAACCATCATAACTAGTGGTCAACATCATATTGGCATTAATTAAAAGTTTTGAATTTGTATTTTTAGTCCCTAATATTTCAAGTTTCGATCATTATTGCCCCTTATATTTTAAAACTAGGACTTTTAAAATGAAATAATATGTCAATTGAATTAAGTTTACGGCAAATATACTCTTAGATTTCTAGAAAATTTCATGAAAACACTTTATATTGGCACAACATCATTGTAGCTTGAATAGTGTATCTTTGTTAAATAAGTAATAATTAAATGATAATATACCAATAATAAATAAAATATAAAGCAATGGAAGAAAAAGAGAATTCTAGTTTTATATTCTAAATATATTATAGTTACTACTACACTAATTATTATATGTCTTGTGCATGTAGGTTTCAAATTCTTGTAATTAGACATTGTACATATAAAAATATTTAGTGAAGGAAAGTATCAATGTGAAGTGATTTAGGCATTCTTGGGAAAACTTTCTTTGATTTTTTGTTGCATTTCCGTCAATTAAAATCCAGCATTCCAATACTGTAATTTTAAAGCATTTATTTTAATTTTTTTAAAATTTTTCTTGAGCGGGGAAAAGTTGAGATCTAGGAAGTGGGGAGGTGGAAAGAAGATTTCAAAACCTAGGACTACTACATCCTGAGACCTTCATCGTAATTTATTTTAATATCTATAATTTGAAACTATAATTTGATTTACTATAGTTATCAATTTTATTTATTTTACTACTTATTTTTAAAAAAATCACACAATAATGGGATGCACTATTAAAAGTCAAAAGGCTTTCTAATTCCACACTCCACAGTGGATTAGGATTTAATTAAACTTTCAAATTCCATACTAATTTTCCCGCCTTAACGGCATAACCTCCAAAATATTACTACTCCATAGCCAACTAACCACCTAAATAATTAATCACGAAGGCTTTCAAGAAACGCCGTCATTTTTCATATGACAAGGAGCCTTCACATTTTCACCAGCCTTTCCTTCTTTCTTTCTTGTTCTTGCACTAGGTTACTAACCACTACTTCTATCTTCTGGACTATTTTCAAAGATTGTAAAAAAATTCTAATCATTTATTTTATTTTAACCTTCTCTCCAGCTCTTGCGTCATGGATGCCTATCAACCACTGAAAATGCCTGAAGCCACTGCTTCCTTACCACTCTCAGCTGCCTTTGCCTTCTCATTGGGCTACTTTACATGACCATTACTTCCCCTGCTCTTAAGGCATGTCTATCTGATCTATCCATTCGATTTTATTTTACAATATCTTGTGTGGTGCTTTTTGGTTACTTCCAGTAGCTTTACAGTACACATGATTGTTTGTTCTCGAGTCGAGTTATTGTTTTGTTTGGGACATTTTGTCGAACAGCTTCACTCTGATTATCACACGCATATTTGAAGAAATAAAATTCGGCGTTAAAGGGTTGAAAGGTGGTTCTGGAATTAAGGATTGCCCAAAAAGGAAAGAAAGTGGCCCAAAAAGGAAAGAAAGTGGGGGAGCCTTACTTGCATGATAAGGTAGAATGGTGGGGATTGTTGGGTTGAACTAGGTTTAGGGCGTTTACCTGGCAAAACAGGGGATTGGGAGTTTCTAAGTGAACAGATAATTAGAAAATGTACTTTATAGTGTTAAGTTTACTTTCACGTACGGTTTGATTCGCTGATGAGTTAATGCATTTTTGGGAATTTCTGTAATGCTGATACTATGTGAATTTTGTGGGTATTTGATTCTAGATTTGCCGTATTCGGGAATGTGTGACCATTTCATGTGTCTATCTGTACTTGGTTTTAACACAGACGAGTGAAATGCTATGTTTCGTGCTTCTGTTTTCCTTAGCTGTAGCCCAATTGGGTGTGTCGACTGCAATTCCCTTCTATATAGTTGATAATAGGATCATGACTACATTGGCTTTCATATTGTATGTCGGTTTAGTCATATCCTGGGGTGTCGTGCCCTACTTTACTAGTGTGATCACCTAATTTCCTATAGGCAATGGAGTGTCCTCGCTAGAATCAGTGTTGTGACTTTGCTGAAACTTGCTATGATGATGTGTATATTCCAGATAGGAACTGGTGGAGAGAACCTTTTGGTAAGGGACTATTCATTGATAGTCATAGTTTCGGGCGATGTTGGTTCTTGGATTGAGTCCAGAAATGGTGGTCGTAATCAACACAGGAGATAGGACATTGTGCATAGGAGCATCTACCTTCATTGCTGAATTATGTGAGTCTCTAACTCCATGCATGTATCAGCATCTTTCAACTGACTTACCCTTACAAGGCTTACACTAAGGCTGATTTCTGAACAAAGAATCTCCAAAGAGAAATCACATCTTGTATCAGCCGAATCAATTAAATTGATCACATTGATGGCTAAACGGTATATGCAAGCTATTAGAACCTGTTAATTAGCTACAACAATAAACATAGAGCAAGAACTTTTCAACCAATTGACTTGTACCAAAGTTCAATTGAAGGAAAGTTACAGCTCTTATGGAAATGGTCATATAAAATCAAATTTAAGACGCACTTATTTTGTGCTTTCAGTTTATTGATTGATCTGAATTGTAGCTCATAATAAAATTTTTTGTTTTGGTCCCTCAATTTGGGTATGACATTAGGTTTTGGAAATCAAGCATTAATAGCGACAAAGGCAATAATCTTCCCATTTTCCTCGCAGGGTATCTATTGTCTTTAACCCTTGATACTATCATAGTTTGTTCAAATTTCATATTTCATTTTATTTTTTATTTTTTTAATTCTGCTTTATTACTCGCCTTTGTTTGGTAATTTGATACTTTGATTTTGGATTTTTAAGTTAGCAAAGGGTAGTACGATCTCCTATTTTATTCCTGTGGTTCGAGTTTTAGATATTTATCTATTTACATGGCACATGCTCTGATTTGTGTTCTTTACACGAATTTTTGCTTTCATTGGGCCACTGTACAGTTTTATGATGAAATTTATATAGTCACAAGGAACTTGTTTTTTTGTAGTCATGCCCATACCCAATCTTTAATTCGATCGAAGCAAATTAAATTTTGAATTTTTGTACACAAGTCATGTTTGTTTAGGAACCTTACTTATGAAGAACTGTTTATTTAACTAATTTATATTCATAAAAAAACATTTCCAGGGATTGAAATATAGATTTACTTGTAGAATACTAAAACTGTATGGGAAGCAGGGACTTTTTTTCCCCGTGTCCCTCAGCATCAGAGATGCAAAATTCGTGCAGCATGCAAAGGGTCCTTGAAGGATACTTGCTGTTTGAGTTAAAATAATCTATGTTGATATTTATGAAAGACATTTTTTTAATACTTTCATGCTTAGTGTGAATGATAATCTATGGATTCAATTGACAGTTTAAGAGTAGCAGGCATGGTATGCAAGCCTTACTGGTTTAAGTTATCAAATTCCATACATAAAGATGCTAATGAACATACCAAGTTATAACATGACCAAGATCAAATGCATAGGTTAGGACTTGCTAAATGTATAAAATTAGCAATCTTATTACTAAGGTATAACCAAACTTTCCCTTCGGCCTATTTTCTGTATTTTCTTTGTAATAGATCAGTAAATGGCAAACTTGATTGTCAAGAATTTGCAATTTGTTGAGATAAGCCTCTGGCCTTTTAGGAATATCATATGCTGAAGAATACTTCTAGCATCTAGCAACAACTTAAAGCATGCAGTTTTGGCAAAGATGAAAATTAAGTAAAAGAACTTAAACCTCGGGAAAGGAATAGTACAACTATAAGCGCTTCGCTGATAACATCATGAAAAATAAGTGAGTATGAGAAAAACATCAGTATTGCTGCCTTTGAAAAACAAGTCTCACATGAAAGAAAAAGATGAGTTTACATGACCTAGGCAGATAAGGAATTAGGAAGAAACGATTTGATTAGTGCACGGATATAAAGTTTACTAAAATTTTCTTTTATCATACACTTCAGTTGTCTTTGCAATGTTTTTAGTTCCTTGCAATAACTTGTATAGAAAGAAGAAAAAGATTTCTTTGGAGTCAATCGACTAATTTCTATGTATTTGAATTTCTTTGAATTTCAATTCAATAATTTGTATCCCATTTGAAAAATATATGCAGTGAATGTGGAAGGTGGAACAAGTATTGCTGATGAAGTCTAACCTGAGAAGCCAACTAAAAATAAAGTTTTTGTGAAGCCAAAACTTGTAGCTATAATTGCAACTAGTTTGGATCTTGAAGAAGTTAAGAAAGAAAAAAACAAGCATGATCCTGTTCCCCTTTGTACAAATTTGTACACAAAAAACTCTTGCTTTCTTGTTGGTTTCTATTTCCAGTAGTAACTTTTACCATTTTCTTAATAGAGTTGGTGATCACATGTATTTCTAACTTAAGATAAATAAAAGTTTGATAGCAATCTTGATTCATAGGCTTTTCAAACTGCATTTTTAGTTTAATTAATGGCTTGGTGGTTTTCTACTACTATAATTTAAAGTTGTTCATGTCTCTCTTTCCCTGATGTAGGCTGTACATTTTATTAACGGTATATGCTGTTGAAGCATGAGATTTGTAAGTTGTTGATTGCTTGATATTGAATAGTAATGCATTTATATCTCTCGTATTATATCTAGCCAGTTATGGAACATCCTTAAAAAAAAATCCAGATAATGCAAAGCCAGGAAAACTAGTACCAATAAAGACCAAAGTCAAGAATAAGTTCCAAATATACACACTAAGTTTACAAATAAAGGCCTATATTTTTTATACACATGTAATTTTTATATATCTATCAGTAACCTATTGACATAAAAAATGATAAGTAGTACTCCTAAAACCTTCTAGTACATTACATTGGTGGAGGGATTAAACCAAAAAATACTATACTTTTCTTTTAAATTTCCTTTATTCTGCAAATAAAACCAAAATTTTGTGTTTATTAACAAAAATTAGAATGGAAGATTCTACAACTTTCACCCACTCCCCCAAACCAATAATGTAACGGTATATAACTTTTTGGTTTCTAAAGGTACTAAACAAAAGACAAAAATAGGGGACAACTTCCATATTCAAGAAATCTAGCGTCAAACACTTGAAACTCTTAGAATTTGGTCCTCCTCTTCCTTCTATGGTGCTCGCACAACCTTTCCCCCCTTTTCTCTCCCTTGCTTTGGATTAGAAACTTGGAATTAGAAGTTGCACAAAATGAATTTGGTGATTGGTGAAAGCAATGACCAAACAAAGCCACATCCTTAGAGTCAACAAGTTCAAGAAGTTTGAGGGAGAAAAAAAGGTTATGGAATTGCCCAGATTTCTTGCTGCCGAACTAACCTTCATCTCCAGACCGGATATATCAACTGTCGCCATCGTCTAATTCTGACTGTTAGAAAGCAAAGTGAAGAAAACCTATGAAACTAAGCAAACCAAGGTGGCTAAGTTTGTAGCTTTTCTTACTTTTCCTAGATTCTGATCGGTGTATTGTGATGTTGAGTGTGATGATGAACTGTAACATGCATTTTATTCGAATGCCTTTAAAAAGTCTTAGACTTTCTAAAATCTCTATATAATTTTGTGTTTTATCACGTAACCCTCATGATTTAAAAAACTATATACAATATAATCCCTTCATATTTTAGGTTAATATGTAACTGTTAGTTGTTCCGTTAAAACTAACGGTCAATAATAAAAAATCAAAATCAAACTAATAAATTGATAAATTTATCCATTCATTACTTCTTCTTGTTTTCCTCCAAACATAAAAAAGAAGAAATTGAAATTAAAAAATAGATAAATAAGAACAAGAAAATACCATTACAGGTTTGGTTTAAAAACCTATAATGATATTTGTAGTAAAAAAATTGGTATTTTGTGTTTCTTATTTATTTGTTTTATATTTCCCGTCCATCTTTTTTTTTTCTTATCTATTTATTTTTTATTTTTCTTCCATCTTTTTTGTATTTTGAGAAAATTAAGATTTTGTAAACTAAGTGTAGGTTTTCAAAATTATCTCTTCTCTTCCCAAAGAGAGAGAGAGAGAGAGAGAAAAAAAGAAAAAATAAAAAGAAAAAAAGTAGTGAAAGAATGAATTTGTCAATTTATTAGTTTGACTTTGACTTTTAGTTTTAATGAAAAAACTAACGATGTCACTTTAACCCAAATCATGAGAGGTTACGTATAGATTTTCAAACCTTAAAAAGGTTATGTGGTAAAATACCAAATTACAGGGGATAAAAAATAATTTATCCAAATAATAATCCAAAAATTAGCAAAAAAATTTGAGTTGCTTTTCTTGCGTTGATCTCGAATGCGATAATTTTTATGTTCACTTGAGATTGAATTCAAGTGACTTTCCCGAACTTGTCACTTGAGTTTGACTTGTTCAGATTGCATACTTTCAGTAAATATATTCATAACACTGTGAGGTTCTTTAGATTGTAAATTTTCAAGAAATTTTGGGAAAAAAATTACTGTAACACTTTTTTTTTTTTAAATCGTGGCGGATATTTAATGATAAATGATGTTGCCAGGAGATCTTCTACACATAGAGTACTATTGCATTGATGAATACTATGTATAAATGGGATAGTGCGTTGTCAGTAGAACTACATGCAAGTTATTTAACCGTGGTAGACGTTTAACGATGAACGATCATTTATTTTGTCATTGGCAAATTCTTGTACGGAGTCAGAATACATTTTCTATTGCAGATGCTAAAATACTACAAGGTTACGACTTAGTAGGGCCTAGCGCCATGCTGCTCTACTGCAGGTTTTCTGAATTACCAAAGTCCAGTTTGAAATTTGAATACTCCATTGATATAGAAATTTAGGGAAGTATGGAACATAACGTTTAGCGAGTATATAGACACCTTATTTGCATAGCCAAATAAGTGAAGTGTCTAACTTCTGGAGAATAATAATTGATAATGAGAAGATATGACCAACATTGGTGAAAAAGGCATGACCAGAATTGACTAAGAATTGGTAGGGCCAAGAAACTGATCCACCAATCTTGCCACTTAATTAGCTAGACCATCTACTACTTCTTGGGTGCTCGCTTCAGAATACTCTAACCACATCTTCATAATTGTCGAAAATTTATCCTTCTCCAAAAAGGGAGGAACTTATTCATCAAATACAAGTTTACGAGAAGATTTTCCTATGGGGGTCATGTACTTTTCACCCATAGGAAAATCTTCTTGCAATGAAACCAAGTTTAATACATTTGCATTTTTAACGTCATAACCCAGTAATCAAAAGCTTTTAAATTTAAGCAAAAAAAAAAGAGAAAGATCTTACCTAAATCAACACTCAAACCTGATGCATGAATTGTCTCCATGATCTCAATCTCAGCAGCAGTTTCTATAATCTCAGGATCAGCGGTTTATGATCTCTGGCTCTTGTTTACTCTTTTTTTGCCCTTTTTATTCTTTTTTCTTTGATGAACATGTACTCGTAGAACAAGAAATGGAAACCTATTAAACTAAGGAAACAGAAAACGGAAGTCAAGAAGAAAGTGACTTGGTAGAAGCTCTTGGTGTGTGCGTGTCTATTATTTATATAGATACTTCATTCTCCGTGGATTGTGTAATGATGAGTGATGACTATTCAGCCTTCTTCATTAATGAACAGCAATATGCATTGGTTGCATAAAATATGTAAAATGTGGTGAAGCTGTAGAAGAAGTCTTGCATTGAAGGTTATAAAATTGCTGGAGGACTAAATTGGCTAAAAGAATTATAAAGTACAAAATTGAATTTGGTGTAAATGTCTAGGACCAAAAAGGCCAATTTTTCAAAGTAAAAAAAAAAGTAGTATTAATATGCTTGAAAATTTACTAATTTGGTCCCTCATATTTTCATAAAAAAAAACTTTTTTGGTCTCTCATGTTTAAAATCAATAAAAATAGTCCCTCAAATATAAAAATTTTACCTATTTGGTCCCAAGCTCATTTTTTCTCAAAATTTTGGCCAAAAAAATGCATTTCTACCTCATGTGCCCATAATTACCGAGGCAAAATAGAAATATAATTCATTTTCGTTCATCAAAAAAAATACCCACCCTCTCCCAATTTTCAACCACTAAAAGCCTATTTCTAATTCTAAACAACCAAACCCCAATTCTCAATAACAAAACTTCAGCAAATGCACCTTGACAAAAGGTAATGAAGAAAAATGCATAGGGATCAGAATGGAAAAAGGGTAACAATAATCAAAACGCACGAGTGAATCACAGCACACAATATAAAATTTTGTCTATATAGCATAATGTCATGATTTGTTGTGTATATTATATAATATTATAAGGCTAGCTGTGTTATATTTGAACTTACAGAAAGTTTTGTTGTTGATATGGATGAAAACGAGGCGAGTCGAGTTGAGTCGACATCGATTTAATCGAGTCGAGTCTCAAGTTAATTCTATGAAACTCGAATTCAAACTCGAACTCGACGAGTTCAAAATGTCATACTTGATCTCGAGCTCCACTCAAATTCGAGTTGACCTCGAATTCGAGTTCAATCTTAAAAAATAATCATTTTAGTTTTAAAAAATAAAAAATAATTATCTTATTTTGAAAAATGAATAAAATAATAATTTTTAACAAATAATGAAATATTAGGTATATATATATGTAATTTTACTATTAAAATAAAAAATATATATATATATATAATCTAGCTCGCGAGCTAACGAGTTTGATATTTTTGAATTTGAATTCAAACTCGAGTTTGACTTGATTAGCTCGAACTCGACTCGAATTCGATATTGACCGAACTCGACTCAAACTCGTATCCGATCGCGAAAGGATCGATTTATTTGCAATCCTAGTTATTGAGAATTGGGGTTAGTGGTTGAGAATTAGAAATAGAGTTTGATGGATGAAAATTGAGAAAATAGGAGGTCTTTTTTTTTTTTTTGTGAACGGAAACAAATTTTGTTTCCATTTTGCCCTCAAAATTACGGATATATGAGATAGGCGATGCATTTTTTTTTACTGACAAAACTATGCAAAAATGAGTTTTGGGACTAAATGCATAAAATTTTTATATCGGAGGACTCTTTTGACTGATTTTAAATGTGAGGTATTTTAAATGTGACTCACATTATGTGAGGGACTGAAAATGTTTTTGCAAAAATGTGATGGACGAATTTGGCAATTTTCCCAAATATGCTAGATGAACATTTTACCATCCTTTGACCAAGAAATCCAAAAAGATCAGAGTCTGAGGGTAATAAAATAGAGAACAAATCAGAAATTCCTAACCCTAACTCTCGATCCTCTTCATTGCCGTCAGCTTTGATAGGAGAGAGATCGATCACCTCGCCGGCGCCGGTAAGGTCGTTGACCAAAATTCTCCGTCTTAGCTGTCCTCATTTCTCCCTTCTTCTACTTGTTTTCCTAATTAAGGCCTAATTTCCGGCTTAACCATA